GGTGATCGTCGACAGGTTAACCAAATCCGCACACTTCCTACCAACAAAGGAAACAGACAAGCGGGAGAAACTAACTAGAACATACATCAGGGAGATTGTGCGACTGCATGGGGTACCAATATCCATTATCTAGACAGAGATAGTAGATTCACCTCGCGGTTCTGGCAGTCACTACAAAAATCTCTAGGAACGAGACTAGACATGAGTACCGCTTACCACCCACAAACCGACGGACAGAGTGAGAGAACTATTCAAACCTTTGAAGATATGCTAAGAGCTTGTGTGATCAATTATGGTAAGGCTTGGGATACCCATTTATCATTGGTTGAGTTCTCGTACAACAATGGCTATCACACTAGCATCAAGGTTGCTCCATTCGAAGCCCTCTATGGCCGCAAGTGCAGATCACCTCTATGATGGGCTGACGTGGGTGACACACAACTAGCTAGAGGGCAAGTACCTAACAGCACCCTCACTGGACCGTAAATCATAAGGGAAACTACCGAGAAGATTTTCCAAATCCAGGAACGACTAAAAGCTTCAAGAGACAGACAAAAGAGTTATGCGGACAAAAGACGGAAGCCCTTGGAATTTCAGGTTGGAGACCGAGTACTGTTGAAGGTCTCACCCTGGAAGGGATTAATACGTTTTGGAAAAAACATGGGAAACTAAATCCAAGATATATCGGACCATTCGAGATCCTTGCCAGGATCGGCCCGGTAGCATACAAACTTCGATTACCACAGGAACTCAATAACGTACATCCTACCATTCATGTGTCCAACTTAAAGAAGTGCTTATCCGATGAGACCCTCGTCATCCCTCTGGACGAAATTGAAATCAACGAGAGCATCCACTTCGTAGAAGAGCCAGTAGAAATCATGGATAGGGAAATTCAAAGAACAAAACAAAGTCGCATACCCATTGTGAAGGTCCGCTGGAATGCCAAGCGAGGAACTGAATACACCTGGGAGCGCGAATGCCAGAAGAAACAATAATACCCGAATCTTTTCCCTAGTCCATAAAATACTTAGTTTAGAATTAATTTCAGGACGAATATCCCTCTAACGAGGGGATGATGTGACAACCCGATATTTCAAGTTAATGTAATGTTCCAAAAATCAAGTATTGTAACATATTTTTGAAATAATAAAAGTAGCGTCAAAAATGAAATGTTCAAAAATCTCAATTGGGACATATAAAGTGATTGATATCGTAGCAAGGTTTTCAGAAATATAAAGAACACTAAAATCCGAGCTATAACGAAGAAGTTATGACCAATCAAAGATTCGCGACAAAACCGGTAAAACACTGTTAAGCGTAAAAAGTGAAATTTTAATAAAAAACTTTTTAGCCTTAAGTATCAAAACGAAAGTCGTAGATAATAACAAACTGTGAGCGTACATAAAAAGAACGTCCAAATCTGACTTCGTATGAGGAGGCTATGATTTTTCTAAGTTTCAGATCAACGGTTGACAGCTAAAAACTCGAAATAGAGATCGAGCGACTTTTAGCCGACGCAACCTAAACGATAATCGAAGATCCCAACAATAGTAGTACAACGGTGAAAAGACAGACGAAAACGGACATCGGATAAAGAAGTTATGGATTTTTAACGGAATTATCTTGTCCCGGCCTATTAAATAAAATATAATTAAAAATAAAGTCAAAACTAGGCGACGAAGTCTAAATGAAAGTTGTAGAGTATATTCGCACCTACGCATGGATATAAAGAACGTCAAAAACGGAGCTCGTATACGAAAGTTACGCATTTTGAAGTTTTTGGCACGCATTACGAGGCTTATCCGAAGGAGTAAGCCGGCGTACTAATGGAGGGCACGGATCGGCCACGTCGCCCGACCACGCTCTCGACTGCCGTCCCATCCGAAGACCGGAGAACGTGACGTCATCGCTGACGTACGCCCCGCGTACGAGGGTACGCCCAGCGTACGAGGTACGCCAGCGTACTTCGTGTACGCCAACGTACGAGGGCATTTTCTCTCCTATAAATTGCATGCGAGACCTCCGACTTTCCTTGCCTTTCCCTTTTTCTCTCACTCTTACTCCACGTTAGCATCCCGAGACGATCCCGACTTCCCGTTCCATACCTCAGTCCCAACGAAGGTCCGAAGCTCCGAGATTCCCGAGAATTACACACAACCACTTTCCGGTCGAAGTGCCGCCGAGGAAAATCTTGTTTCTTCGAATCATCACACTTTCCAGGTGAGTTCATACCCCTACGCTTTTCCGAGTTTTTCATGTTTTCAGGGGGGGGGGATACAAGCAAAAGCACAAGTAATCTTGGGCTCAAAGTATATTATTTTGTTTAAGATAATTATATTTTCAATATACTTTGAACATGGAAAATAGTTTTACCAAATGGGTTTAAAAAATCAACTCGCAGAAACAGTTTTCAAAACTAAGACGATGAACTTGATGAATCATGAAGTAAAAGATATCATTTTATAAAAGGATTCATGTAAATTACAAAAATGGTTTTCAGCCTTATTACTTGTAAATTTGTTAGTCTAAGTTGGATACACGTCCTTGGTAACACTCACCACCGAAACAGAGTGGAGGAGTAGCACATATGACCAGAATCTCTTGTAGGGAGAGCGTGATTGTTGTGTATAGATCTATACGGTACTGACTATCCCGCACCTCGCTGCTAGCTACAGTGGGACCGGCAGGTCTATGGGTGACAAAGTCATAAAGGATACTGGCCCCGATACGTGCCATATCAAGTTAATGTATGGTTATAAAACTCACAACGTAGATAACAGTTATTTACTTACGTAATAATGAATCAAGTGAACTAACCTCAGTGTAATAACCAATTGATTACTAGAGGATATTAATAATACCTTCAGGATTTAGTTCACCATATTTTTATTAGTTTTATTATGTAATAAAGCTATATATCTCACTGGGCGTAACCAGGGTTTTTCAAAGAAAACTATGTTAACGATTTAAGTACGGTAGATACTTGTATACCTCATTTAGAACGGATAACTAACAACCTACTTTTAGAGAAAATATAGGATTTTCCCAGGATAACACGGTATTTTCTTAAACGGATGGTTTAACATTGAACTAATGGAATGAATGGGTTTCAAACATGCTTTTATTAAGAAAATATGGGATTTTCTTGAGGAACACTTTTCAAAAGGATCAAAGAACATTTTCCACCAAAACTAAATGCTTATGAACTCACCAGCTTTATGCTGATATTCTTTCAAAACTGCTTGTATTCTCAGGGATTCAGTAATACAGGTAAATCATCAGCTTTTGGAGAAGGGACGCTAAGACGTCAGTCTTAAAACTTATTAAATCATCATATTGTAATTTATTTTGAGACATGTATTGTATTCAACAATGTAACTTTTAAATTATATTTATGATGGTTGTGTTTACTTTCTTTACAACTATTCAACTGTTATGATACTACATGAAGTCATCCGCCCCCGAATGTTTCCGCCATTCTGGTTTGGGGGTGTGACAAATTGAACAGAATTGAATCTATTTTTAAGTAGTTTCAGTTTGAACAGAACATTCTATTACAGTCATGATCCAGTGAAGTTCCATGAGTACTTAGAGGACTTGAATAATTTGAGAAATGAAGTTCTGCCTTTCTTCATCTTTTCTAATTATTTGGTTTATAGGTCAATTTTTTTGACAATTATAAGTGTTTACTCTTCCCAAAGGAACGTGAAATTGAGAATCCTTCTCTCATCAACACCAAAGGTTCTGGTAGTCGTGGAAAAAGACTTAATAGTAAAAAATATATGTTGACAAATCAATGCACAAGCCAAAGAGAATGTGTAACTCAAGCAAAAAGAAGGTTAATCATGATAAGAGAAATTGTCCCATGAAGGCTAAAGTAGTATAGACTTAGTTTTTTCCTATTCATGCAACAAATCATTTAAATGACTTTATGTTTTTCAATTAATTCCTTTTTCAAAAAAGATTATGTGTTATTTACCTTGTTATAAGTATCTAAGTACTCTATTGTTTGTTTTTCTATTTAGCCTTCACATGTTCTCGTTTATTATTCATTATAGAATCATTTTTAAAACAATGTGTTATAACTAATTCTTTCAGAATATATAGGATTATTACATGTAAGAGTAACATACTTGGGAACCATCAGTTACAAGTAATACCAAACTAAATTCCTTTAAGAATCTATTACGGCTAACAACATTTTTACATTCATGTATTTCTTACTTAATAGCATAATATTACAAACAGTTCTAAAATACTTAATACCATGATAATAAACAATATTCTTACAGATTACAAACTATTATTAGAGATTGTCCATGCAAATGGTAAATCCTGGGAACCACCAATTTTAATTATTGCTTACTCATATTCCTAATGAATCTGTAATATAAAAAAAATCACATTCCACGGTTATCTGTTAGAATTACCAAAAAAAATCATTTCTTAGTGCTATAAGAGTTAAAAAGGAAAGTCACAACCCAAAAACTTTATTTTTTATTTCATCCATAACTTCCATAAACCATCATTTTTTATCATAACTTCAAAATAGTAAAAGGTTCCATCAACGAAAGACTGACATAAGCTAAAACAAACGACATACATAAACTTAAACCAAACCAAATAAAAAAAAACTAATTTTTTGCAAACCAAACATCCAAAAGACTAACATTCTTCTGTTTCCTCATTGTTTGTGTCTTTTAAACTCTTATCAACCCCTCATTGTAATCTCCAACATCAGTAACCCTCTTCTCACTTGATGTTTTATCCATCATATCCAATACTTCATCTACAACTCCAGGCAATTTAAAGAGTTGTGAACTACTCAATTTTTTTATATTGCCCCATTCTTCATTATTTTCACCCATAGGCGTCATGTAGATATATGCAATGTCTTTCCCTTCCTTATGTTGCCCAATGTCTTCAACATTCTCTTTTGTCCCAGATGGTGTAACATGACTTTTATTTGACCCTGAAGCTTGTCCAAAATTTTCATGTTATGCATTTTTCTGTAACATGTTTTCATCTGTGTCTGTGTCCTCATCAATGCCATCACTTTCATTTTCAATTGCATCTTCATTACTCGCCACATCCTTAAACAACATTCTCATAAATGTCATCCTTTCTCTCAATAGTTCACTAATTCATGACCAGGAAACTTTTTTAGACCTCCAATTAATGCTTTTTCCATGCTACCTTATTCAGTCACTGTTTTATTGTATCCGAAGTCAAATATCGCACAATACGCCTACATGTAGCAAATAATTAAGTTGTCATAAACAAATAATATTACATATTCATTCATTCCGAATAATTTATACCGGGAAAATGTCATATTAATCCATTTAGATTTACATAAGTTTATAACTCATTACATGCTCATATGCCTCATATCATGTCATCATTCTAAAGGAATCCTATAACATAAACAAGTCAATCTGATAGAATGTGTAATTCAAAATTAAAAAAATCATTGTCATATGCCCATTCTTAAATAAAGTTCGTTTACATCAATGACAAAGGCAAACTTAAGAACGTTATATGTCAGATAGAAAATAACAGTGTTTACCTCCTCATCTGCAAATTCTCTCTCAACTATTTCCAACTCCATATCTGTGTCACTACTAACATTTCCCTGTTCATCATCTTCCCTTCCGATGAACTGCCACATCCCAAGAGAATCTGCATTCACCTCAAACTCCTCGATATTTTCCAACTTATATCCAGTAACATGTGTTATGAAGGAGTCCTTTTTTTCAATTTAATGCTTTTACTTATGAGAACATTAAAGACATAAACAAGTTGCATACACATTACTAATTTGTTAGAAAATAAAATAATATAGATATCATAGACTAATAATCATTTGTATTTAAAAATATATTTATGACATTCATACCAACAATACTGTAATAGGCCCCGAGTAATAGCATAACCGGTTGTCCCGATTCCACAATTGCTTCCTGATCAAGTTGTCAAACAT